GCTTTGCTCAGAATATTTACCGTTAATTCCAACGTAATAGAGGCTTAGAGCATGTGATACTCCCTTTTAATCTGGGGAAAAATGACCAACTTTCAAGCGTCGGTGTTGATGACCATAACTCAGATGTACAACTTCCAGTGTAGATGAAGGCACTCGGCAGGTGAACTTCATTGTTTGAAGCACTACTGTCATGTATTTGTTCCTGGTCTTCTGCTCTTTCACCAACTCAGGATTTAGTTCCTCTTGTTAGCGGTAAGCAGCATTCAATAACGTCTAAGGAGGATGGCTGAAATTACCCCAGTGTGCCTGCAGTTGGGAATAGAATTTCCGACTTACCGGTAATGCCTCATAAGTGATGTTTTATACGGCGATGAGGATATGGAAAACACTAAATCCCAGTAGTGAAATAAGGTATTTTCATTTGATGCAATGTATTTTGGAAAATGTTAAAGCAGCAATAAAAGAGATTGTTTTGGCCTTTTCCATTTCACTGTATTCGTAGATTTGCTACTTTATGTAGTTGTCTAAACATTCTAGATTTGGCCCTAACTGTTAAGTAAAGAGCATGGACTCTGTTTTTACAAGGGAAACAACCCTATGTTCCGATCATGCCACAGGATGCCAAATCGGCTTAGCAGCATGCTCGTTCGTAATTTGTAAGCCGAGCAGCTATTTGAAACTCTTTTGTTGGTAGTGTACCCCGTTAAAGTAGGCGCATTTACTGGCCTTATGCTTACTGAGATATGTTTGGAATGAGATCCTTATTTTTGGTAGGCCCTGTACTTAGTTTCCTGTTGTTTCCTTTTAAGCAGATGGTGGCTCGAATCATATTTGTAGACGCACCAGACCATAGTAGTAAACCGCGGAGGAAGTAAGCACCCCCAACGAAGGCTTGACTGGAATGCCCTCATATTCATATTGGAATTTTTTTCCATTGAGAAGTATCCACTTACGTTATCGTTTTCCCAGTTTAAAGTCAATAGGGAAATAGGAACATTTGGCCCACCTTTCAATGCATGAAATTACAGGTGCTGGTTTTGTACTGGAACTACTTTACTTGTTGGCATAACCTGTTCACTGATGTATTATTACGTCTGTCGATTTACCATGCTATCGGATGTTTTTATGACCGACAATGCGCCCAGTATGTCTGTCCCTTGCGAACAAGACACGACGGTATTTGACAACGCGGGAAAACATAATGCCGGTTGAGAGTCTGGACTTTGCTAACAAAAAGAATCATGGTCTCACTTCAAGAAAGGTGGTTGGGCGATCCCGGATTCCAACTAAGTGAGAGTGCCTCAGAGGCGACATTCTGAAGGAGCCATTACAACCTGACTTTCTGCCCTGAGAGGACCAAATTAATCCGTGATTTGGCAGCCTATCAAGCCTCCGCTTTTGGCACGCCGTGGTAGTGCCGAGTGTCATGGAGATGGAATCATCATAATCAGCATCACTCCGTCTCCCCTGCGCCAGTCCGTCATCTGATTCTAAAATAGGCGCAAGTAATTGGCAAAGTCCAACAGCCCGCCTAAGCATGCCGCATGTGTCTTGCTTCCTGCCAGACATCACGTTTTCACGCCAAGTTACGATACATCGAGGCATCGCAAGCAGCAAAGCGTTTACGACGACCCAGCATAATCATATAAATCACTGTCACTGTGTCTGACTGCTTACGCCATCCATTGTCTGAGAACTACTGCCAAGTACTTTATGACGTTTAATCAAACCTCCGAGTATGCATATTTCTGCGCAGTATATTTATAAGAAATTTCGAGAAATGTAGAGATATACGATTTTAGTAAAACCGAAAGGTAAACAACATACATACGTTCCACTAAAAACCGAGTTATAGTTGAGGCGGTCCTGTAATACCTGAACTGTTGTCAGGCAGAATGATACGTCTAATGTCCTAACGAAGTTTTCGGAAGGTATTAGTGTTCCAAAATGTATAACGAGCGTCAGCACTAACACCTATCGTAAAATGTAACTACATGCATGCGAGGATTATCGAACAAGGTCTGGAATTACTCATTACTGGGGAAAACATTATATAAAATATGATTTATGTTAATGGACTTGCGTAACGTAAGCTATGATTTTACATATAAAAGCCTCGACTAGGTAGTATTTTTTCCGGGAAACACATTTTACATTTAGTGCACGTAAATAATAGCAAGTCTTTGCAAAAAAGGCCGCTGTTTGTCAAATCTAGACAAACGACTCTTGCATACATTTTACAAGGTTTATTATCGCCAAATTGTAACAATTGTCCGCAGTTAACACTAGGAATAGAGTTTTGCTTGGCTGCTTTTAATGAATCATTTCACCCATTAGGACAAATGACAGAAAATGACCTCAGCATGATCATCTGATCACACCAAAATACAAAATTGGCAGTATTTACAGGTGTCTCAAGTGCTTTAAAGTCATCGATACTCATCTCCAATAGAGGCGATAAAGACAAGTCCCAGGAAGTAGTCTTGAAGAAGGAGACACGATCGCTGAGATAAGAGCTTTATTAGGCTGACGTTTCGGATTCCCACTCTAATCCATCATCAGAGACTAAGCAGATGCCGATGGTAAATGGCCTACGTGTTGCAAAATTTAAAGGATGCATTTGCTAGACCGTGGCATGCCTATCATAATTGGCACTTCCCGAGCACATCACAGCTCAACTTGCCAGGTGCTGAAGTACGCCGTCGCCATGCCGTCGCTATGCGCCTGTAGTCTGGTCAAGATAATCGGCTCCGACGCTAATCGCTCGCCGCCGAGGGCCTGACTACCGGAGTTCGTCATCCATTTGGACTGTTGTGTGATTTGGAACGACGAGATTTATACAGGGGACATTGGCTATTCGCCCTTTCTCCTTGTCTAGACTAAATCTCAGCGCCGAATATGAAAAGGGGGAGGGCGTGGCAACGGCATTATTCAACACCTGGCCAGTCGAGCTGTGATGCACTCGGGAACTGCCAAATTTGTTAAGCATGCAGCAACCTAGCAACTTCATCTTAAAAAGATTAAAACACCTGGGTAATCTACTACCCTTGTCTTGCTCTGTCTCTGATGATGAATTCGAGTGAAAATCCGAAACAACAGGCAAATAAAGCAAATGCTCCAGCGATCGTGTCTCCTTCTCCCGAGTGTATTGCTTTACCTCCAGGGCAAAACCTAACTGCTTATCTGGAGGAACGCAAAAACATGTCTAACCGACTTGCGTATATAAGTAAGGACCAACCGTGTGTGATTCCATGACACGAAACACTGACCTCGTGAACGTATCCCTAAAGATCGCCGGCCTATCTTTTATTCCAAACAACGTATGCACGGGTTCGCCAAACAGACTGGCCTTACATTATGCTTCGAATGGGCGACGTGCTGGTTAACCAAAAGACTTACAGAGTTGGACACTGTGAAGGCCAAGATTGGGTGGCTGACACCTAAGACACTAATGGCAAACCCGGGACCACTGAGCAAATAGAGAGGCCGCTCACCCATTCTATCAGACATGCTGCTGTAGTGACAGTTAAATCCGTTTTGTTTTAATCAGTGATAATACGCTTGTTAAATAACTTGGCACAACTTTGAATGAAACAAAGAACTAGCACGTGCATTTTGACCCGCTGACGACTTTGTTCTTATTTACTAGTTTGCAACTGTTGGGATACTTCTGTTTCGTTTCCCGGATAGCCTACATACTGTGCCCAACTTATGGGTTTATCACTTACGTTGGTGACCCTATATCGTTCATACTTCCTTCTGTTTCATTTATGTGCATAGCTATTTCCATTCGGATTAATCCTCACTCAACTTTTTATTTATCAGATTATTTATCTAGCCCTTATTTGCCAGTCACACTGTCTCACATTTTCACCCAATACGAAAGCTTACCTTCAATCTCACTGTCAAAGCGCTAGCCCTCTACCCCAATTATCTGACCTCTGACCGACATCGGCTAATTATGTCTAACGATTCTACCAGGCAGCCGATAGCTGGCATTCACACCTTTGACCTGCCATTCATGTGGCTAGGTGACATCGCGTTGTGGCTGCGCACTGTGGAGTCCCGTTTCGCCCTCCGTTAGATTACACGAGAGGATACGAAGTTTCACTATGTTGTGGCAGCACTCCCAATGGATATCGCCACCGACCTCCGTGACATCATAGATTGTCCGTCTCAGAAGCCACTTATACTGCCCTAAAGGAGACTCTCATTTCCCGCATTTCATTGTCTACTCAAAAACGTCTGCAACGTTTCCTTTCCCAGGAGGAGCTCGGTGACAGGAAGCCTACGCAGTTTCTTAGGCGTTTGGAGCAGTTGGCAGACGGATAAAAGATGGATGCTGTCATATTCAAGCAGCTTCTTCTCTTACGGTTACCACCTTCTGTGCATCCATCCTTGCGCCTAACATTTCTTCTACGACTGTTCAGATGTTCGCAGAGACTGCTGACCGTATACTCGAGTACCAACAGCCTCCCGTTGCGGTAAACGTCGCTAGTCGAAGTACAATTACCCCGACAATCGAGGATGCCGTCAAACGCCTGGATGCCCTCACTTTCCCAGTTCCGAGCCACTCGTGTCTATAACCCTCGTAGTCCTGCAATTTCTCGCCGCCCGAGATCTCCCACTCCAAACCAACCTACAGTTGATGGTTTCTGTTTGTATCATCAAAATTATGGTTCTTACGCCCTTCGCTGCGAAAAGGCCTTCGCCCATCTAAAGTCAATGCTGAGTTCAGATCTACTGCTCACGCACTACGACCCGACGCTGTCGATCGTTTTTGCTGCAGATGCTTCCAACCACGGAGTTGGTGCCGTCATCTCGCATACTTTTTCAGACGAATCTGAAAAGGCGATCATGCATGCATCTCGAACGCTAACTTCTGCGGAGAAGAACTGCGGGCAGAAAAAGAAAGAGGCTCTAGCCCTCGTTTTTGCCGTCAAGAAGTTCCACAAACTGTCGTACGGATGTCAGTTCACGTTGTCGATGGATCACAAACCATGGCTGTCATCTTCGGTTCGAAGAAAGGCATTCACGTCTATTCAGCTAGCCGACTTCAGCGATGGGTAACCGTCCTTTTTGGCTACGATTTCGAAATTCGCTACTGTCGCGCTGCAGACTTTGGTCAGACTGACGCCCTTTCTCGCGTCATCAGCAATCATCTGGAACCGGAAGAAGACACAGTGATTGCCTCTGTTTCGATTGAGGACGACGTGCGTCATCAGCTATCAGACGCCGAATAGTTAAGGATAGGTTTTTGTAA